TTTCTTGTTCATGCTTGAGCATCAGCCTCAGGATAAGCAAATTCCATTGGATTTGTGAGGGCACTTGAATAACAGAAAAGATTCAGACTCCCACAGCCTGTACTACAAGTTACAGCTGTGACAGTGTAGAGGGGGGATCCACAAGTAAAATGTGCTGGAATATCCAAGGGGGGGGGGGGTGATACAAATAAAAAAATGATGTTTAATATGACTTAAAGTTATTAAGCAATTGAGTGCACCAGCACTTTCCCCTTGACAAGTAAAATTATCTGGTATTGGACTGAGTAAGATAACAAAGTAGGGCATAGTGTTCCTTAATTAATCACTTATAATAAAGGTTTAAATGCTGATTTTTTTGAAAGTGCCAGAGTGGCAACTGGCAGGGTACTGAAAAGGTAGGCTGTGCACATGCATCCTAAATAAATACTGCTACAAAAACCTGGTATTTAACAGTTAAAACCAATCACGAATTTCATTATTTTAAAGTAATATAAAATAAAACAAGTCGGGAAAAGGATTTTGAACCCAAGATATGAGACAAAATTTAATTTACAGTATGAGAATGAGTTTGAATATAAAGAACAACAAAAAAGAGGATACAAAACTACTGTGATATTGTTGAAATTAGCAATATTATACATTTGCTGTTTATAACGGTAGTTTTTGACATAATGTATTTACGCTTTTCCATCGAAATGGCAAGTTTAATAAATTTGCCCGAAGCAGCCCAAGCTTTGGCAAGCTAGAACTTAAAAATATCAAAATGTTCAGTCGAAACTCGAAAATTATGATCAAAATTTTTGCAAAAACCAGGGGGGTGAAGGATTTTATTCCAAGCGTAGGATCGCGGTTGGTCAGTGGTAATTGCCATGAGCCGGAGGAACCAATTGGCGTCAGCAAACATGAAAATCCGCCATGTTTTTCCGGACACTCGTTTGACTGACGGATAGATAGGAGCACGTCCTCCAGTAATATTATAGCTCAGTGGTACATACCCAAAATGGCGGCGACAGACGCATCTGATTGGTCGAGAAAAGTAAACAAAGTGCGAGAGATTTTGACAAAACCGGGGGGAGAGAAGGCACTTTTTTATCTAACAAGAACGGGAAAATAAAAAAATACGAAAAATTGTAAATAATATTACGAAAAATAGTTTTATTTCATTATAAATTCAAAAATATTGACGAGCTATCATTATGTAAAGTGACAAAAGAGAAAGACTGTTTTCAGGCACAGTACAAATATATATTTTTTACGCAAATTGCTGCAACGTTTTCACGCCGTTTTTTCATATTCAAGTATATTCCTACTTGTAGTTTTATACCGGCGAACAGCCGTCAAAAAATGGCAAAAACAAAACCAGGAAAATACGTACAAAAGGAACGTCAACAATTTCTTATGGTTAGTTCATAACTTTGTTTGTATGACTATATGAAATGTACATAATAATTTATAAATTAAAGGCCCCCATGTCGTGTTTCATACTAGTGTGAAAAACCGAGACAAAGTGATAAATGTGGCCTTGTTTTACTTTTATTTTGAAAAAAACTGTCAGATAAAAGGTTTCCCATATATTTTAGGTCAACTTTGATGAGAAAATTATAGTGTAAAAACACCTACCTTGATATATTAGTTGAGTATAAAAGTATTCGCATGTCCGTTTTCATCAACATTGTCCACTCAAATAAGTTTTGCGAGTTAATGCCTCGAATATAATCACACATAAATGCCCAATTTCCCAACATACACACAGTTTTTAGATTAAAACACAACCCGTTTTGGCGTTTCCGAGTTTTCTGCAGTCTACGTGACTTGTTGCACGAATTCATATGCTTCGACTCTACGACGATTTGAGAACACTTTCAAAAAATTGATTCAGCAAATCCAGAAACTCCTCTGACGTCCAAAAGCTAAGAAAACGTTGAAAAACACTCCATATATCTGTATACATCTCAATTCAAACTGTTTCGATGCATTCTGAAATGAGAAAAATAACCGAAAATGTCGCCTTCGAATTCGAAAACAAGCTACAAGCGCCAAAAATCAATACTTAAAAAAACAGAAAAAATAAGTTGCAGAATACCAAGATCCAACTAAAAACTTGTTATTAACACTATTACCTGTCTAAAATGTGTTTAAACGGTTGAATTGTTGACCCAAAACCAATGTGAAAGAGACTTTTCGTTTAAAAAACGATAAAAAAACTCTCCCCTTTCTTAGATTACTACATTCTGCTATACCACGCATGCGTATATGCGATTTTTGGCGCTTGTAGCTTGTTTTCGAATTCGAAGGCGACATTTTCGGTTATTTTTCTCATTTCAGAATGCATCGAAACAGTTTGAATTGAGATGTATACAGATATATGGAGTGTTTTTCAACGTTTTCTTAGCTTTTGGACGTCAGAGGAGTTTCTGGATTTGCTGAATCAATTTTTTGAAAGTGTTCTCAAATCGTCGTAGAGTCGAAGCATATGAATTCGTGCAACAAGTCACGTAGACTGCAGAAAACTCGGAAACGCCAAAACGGGTTGTGTTTTAATCTAAAAACTGTGTGTATGTTGGGAAATTGGGCATTTATGTGTGATTATATTCGAGGCATTAACTCGCAAAACTTATTTGAGTGGACAATGTTGATGAAAACGGACATGCGAATACTTTTATACTCAACTAATATATCAAGGTAGGTGTTTTTACACTATAATTTTCTCATCAAAGTTGACCTAAAATATATGGGAAACCTTTTATCTGACAGTTTTTTTCAAAATAAAAGTAAAACAAGGCCACATTTATCACTTTGTCTCGGTTTTTCACACTAGTATGAAACACGACATGGGGGCCTTTAATTTATAAATTATTATGTACATTTCATATAGTCATACAAACAAAGTTATGAACTAACCATAAGAAATTGTTGACGTTCCTTTTGTACGTATTTTCCTGGTTTTGTTTTTGCCATTTTTTGACGGCTGTTCGCCGGTATAAAACTACAAGTAGGAATATACTTGAATATGAAAAAACGGCGTGAAAACGTTGCAGCAATTTGCGTAAAAAATATATATTTGTACTGTGCCTGAAAACAGTCTTTCTCTTTTGTCACTTTACATAATGATAGCTCGTCAATATTTTTGAATTTATAATGAAATAAAACTATTTTTCGTAATATTATTTACAATTTTTCGTATTTTTTTATTTTCCCGTTCTTGTTAGATAAAAAAGTGCCTTCTCTCCCCCCGGTTTTGTCAAAATCTCTCGCACTTTGTTTACTTTTCTCGACCAATCAGATGCGTCTGTCGCCGCCATTTTGGGTATGTACTTACATCCCGCATATATTCACGAATATTTCGGTAAATTTACGAAACTATTGCACGTTTTTTCCAGTGCTTTCCTCTAGATTCCACACTAATTTTATGTTAATAATATAGTTTGATTATTCAACTTAAACCTACGATAGACATTTAGCAGTTGACGTGCCGTTTTCTTACAGTAATTTGTCTTTTAAATTTGTCAATATATAAACAAATGAGGAATACTTTCCGTCCTTCCCAATAACATAGTAGGATACGTCACTAATTATATAGTCAAATCACAGCGCGACCGTAGCACGCTACGTGCATGATTCTAACAGCAATTTTATTGCTAATTGCATACTAAAACGTTTTAATTACGGATTTTATTTAATAAAACCCGCTTGTTTGGGCTTCCTATGATGAAAAATCGCCTAAAAAATATCACTTTTAATTACAAAAGTATTAATTTCCCAACATATATATGTTAGGTATGTTATTATACGTAATATAAGCCTCAATTTAAGGTAAAATTCAACCACAAACGCTTCGCAAAACGTTTTAAAGTCACTAGTGTTCTTTATAAAACTAAACTGCCTTTTAAAACGGCTTTATCGATAAACTTTGAGTTTGCAATAAAATGACTTCAAATTCTCGCTTGCAAATAACTCTGCTTTCTTTTTTATTTAAAAAATTCAATATCATAAAAAAGGGAATCAATATTACTAAAGATACACTGAAATAATATGCTGTCTTGCTTAGTTGTTTCATATATGCAAAGGCCGTCGGGTTTTAAATTAAATCCATTATAAAATCAATATTTAAAACAAACTTACCTTCGTCAACGTCGGCTCACTTCTTTTAGCAGATTCTTTCGCCCTTTCTTTCTTGAAATTTACAAAATCTTGCAAAAATGCGAGCGAAAATGAAATATATTTGTGATATTTGCAAGAAATTTATCAATCATCAAATCAAGAAATGTTTGCTATTTCGCTGTCGTCATGCAGTCGTTATAATGCAAACTTTAAATTGGACCAATCAGTTTTCGCTATTCATGACAGTCCGCCACATATTTTGAGATCAGTGAGGATGACCACCCACCGAAGCATCGTTGGTGAGCCACGCCCGCGATATTCGATGAACTTTAGACTCCGCTAATGCTTTCGTTTCCCCGGGTGTAAATAGCCGGGGGGAATTAGTACCCTCGCACGGCGCTTCGCGCCGTCGGCTCGGGGATAATAATAATAATAATGAAAACTTTATTAAATGGATATTTAGCTTATATATACAATTGCAAATCTCACTTATATCAGGTAATTTACAACTGGCTACTTAAATCACTGATAATATATACAAAATTACTATTAAGATAACAAAATGACAGTACAACGTTAAACAGTTAACAGTTTCGGATTCATCGATTCCTTGTTTCAACAACAAAATATATAATACGTTGTTCGGATTGCAATCGTCGTCATTCTTTTAATACAGTAATTCCGATGTTGCTTTTGAAAACCAAAATCATTAAGCATTTTTATGAATGTAGAACATTCTTTACTGAAAACACCAAGAGAACTGATCGAAAGATTTACAAATTTTACTGAGTTGAAATGTTCATTTTGTTCCCTAATTAATTCTTTATATTTTGATTTTTTACGCTCAACGTTTTTTTTGAAGATTTGATTCGAAGCCAACTGTAAGTTCAACAATATAGAGTGTTCCGGTTGAGGTTGAATGAAGCAAATCTGGACGGTAGGTGTCACCAGTGATGATTGATGGACTTTTGTACCCTGGAAGATCCACGTAAAGAAGTGAGCCGCTTACGGTCTGCAGGTTTGTTACGAGAAAGTTTAGAACGGAGTCATGTCTCCACGTGAATCGTTCTAGATACGATTGGCAACCAGCTACTACGTGCAGAAGTGTTTCAGGAGCTAGACATCGCGAACAGTCGACGTCTGAAGTCGGTGATAAACCCCATCTTGCAAGGTTTTGGTGCGTTGGAAGGGAGCTATTGATGTATCGAACTGTAAAGTTGAATATATTTTTTGGGAGGTTCGATTGGCACGCAGACCAAATTTTAGTGAGTTGGGAAAGTGAGAACTTTGTTATATTAGTGAAGAAAGAGCCTTGACAGGTTAATTGAGTATGCAGTTTATCCTCTTGTCCAGAGCGAAAGTCCTTAAGAACTTGCTTAGTGGAGTTATAAACGTCATACTGAATATTTTTGCTGTTGCTAGTTGCTTTCCAAAGTTCGTTAATTGCTTCGTTTGGGGATGTTTTTAGGACTTTACGGAGAACAGTTTCACATTGAATAAATTTGACAGATGTGGGACAAATACTGAGGCCAAATTTGTTACGGGTTAGGAAAACAGTGCTTAGCGTTCCAGATATACTAGGTGTATCAAGCCATTTACGGATATAACTGTTGACTTTGGAATCAATGTTTTCGGTGACCCACGTTTTCGATACGCTAGAAATTGTAAAATGCCAGGATAATTTTGACAGAAGATATCGACTGTAGAGGAGGATTTTATTTTTTGGATGTAATGGTTTGGAATCAATATCTGCCATTAGTTCTTCAACGAGTGAGATTAGTTCAGACTTGTGGTGTTCGTCTGACATATTAAAACTAAAGTATCTTCCTAAGTGTAGTAGTAAACGAGCGAGAGAATAAATCCTTAAAGTTTGATAATATAAACACTATAATTGGCGACGACGTAAAGTAAAAGTATCGACGTTGGTTGATTTTCATACGAAATGGCTAAGGTCCTTGATTTACCGGCTATTCCACCCTTTTCTGTGTCTGAAACGAGTTCGTTGGCACAACGTTGGGACAAATGGACGAACTCGCTAGATTACTACATTCGTGCTTCGGGCATCTCCGATCAAAAGCAAAAGCGGGCCATTCTACTTCATTTAGCTGGTGCAGAAATACAAGAAATCTTCGAGACGTTGCCTGATACTGGCGATGATTACAAAACAGCGCTCGAGAAATTGAATGAACATTTCAACCCGTGTAAAAACATAGCTTTCGAACGTCATGTTTTCAGACAAGCAACCCAACGTGCCGACGAGTCCATGGATGCTTTTGTAACTCGCTTGAGAACTCTTGCAAAAACGTGCCAGTTCGATACAAGTTTAGATGAAATGATCCGTGACCAAGTCATTGAAAAGTGTGCTTCGAACGCTCTTCGGCGTCGCCTACTACGAGAACAAGAACTAACATTGAACAATTTATTATCGATTGCTCGTTCATTCGAACTGGCCGATTGCCAGGCCTTAGAATCGAACAAAAGTTTGAATCATCCACTCACCTCAATTCCATCGAACGAAATAGAGATTTTCAACAACCACGGCGTAATTCTGCGAAGCGTGAAGACAATAATAGGCAAAAATGTGTTTGTTATAATTGTTGTGGAAACGAAGGGCACCGTGCGAAGGATGTCCAATGTCCTGCCCTTGACAAAACCTGCCGACGTTGTGGCAAGACCGGTCATTTTGCTAGGGTCTGTCGCCAAAAGACCAACAAACCGAAGCAATACAGGGAGAATGCTCGACAGCTTGAACAGTCTGACGATGACTCTTCTGAGAACGAATGTTTATTTACTCTCACGGCTCATAATGTGCATCATCGCTCGGACAGCCTTCATATGTTGGAAATTGAACACATTCCAGTGCAAATGCTTATCGACTCGGGGGCTAGTGTTAACGTCCTTGATCTCGAGACATATCATCGTCTAAAAGCGCGAAAAGGAGTCCAGTTAATGCCTTCTACCCTTCGTGTTTACGCATACGGTTCTACGACCCCACTTAATATCATGGGAACAGTCAGACCCTTCGTGTTTACGCATACGGTTCTACGACCCCACTTAATATCATGGGAACAGTCTCCGGTCGGGTAAAATGCAACTCTGCAGAAATCGTGGCCAAGTTCGAAGTGGTACACAACCAACACGCCGGTTGTCTTCTCGGGCGACAAACTGCCACTCAACTGGGATTTTTGCGGGCTGGACCTCAAGTTTCGTCCATCAATTGTGCAGTATCTCCCCATTCCCTTCGCCAACGGTATCCCAGTGTCTTTGACGGAGTAGGAAAACTCACCAATTACCAGCAGAAAATTTCCATCAACACCAACATCAAACCTGTTGGTCAGCCCCCACGTCGAATTCCCTTCCACGCAAGCAAAGCAAATTTCCGCCAAACTTGAAGAACTCGAAAGGCTGCATATAATCGAGACGGTCCGTGGCCCAACACCCTGGGTCTCACCCTTGGTTATCGTACCAAAATCTAGTTGTGAAATCCGTGTCTGCGTAGACATGCGGCAGGTAAATACGGCTGTAATACGAGAGCGGTATCCCATTCCCACAGTCGAAGAAAGCCTTCAGGATCTCAACGGAGCAGCTGTTTTTTCGAAATTAGACCTGAAGTGGGGCTACCATCAAATTGAACTGGACGAGAAATCCAGAGAATTGACCACCTTTACTACTCATGATGGCTTGTACCGGTATAAACGTCTTATGTTCGGGATATCTGCTGCTCCTGAGATTTATCAACATGCTATCCAACAAGTTCTACACGGTCTACTTGGGGTCAAGAACATTTCGGATGATATAATTGTTTTCGGCAAGGACAAGTCAGAACATGACAGAAATCTGCATGGAGTACTTGCTCGACTTCAAGAACGGGGACTTTTTTGGCTTTGATATTTCTGCCCGTGGGATTCGCCCGAACGCCCAGTCAGTCGAGGCTATTTGTAATGCACCAGCACCCACGAATGCTTCAGAGGTTCGCAGTTTTCTGGGCCTAGCCAGTTTCTGTCGGCGATTTATCCCAGCTTTTTCCACCATCGCTTACCCCCTTTCCGAGCTAACCCGTAAAGCTGTGCCATGGCAATGGACCAACACCCATCAATCCTCGTTTGACAAACTTAGGAAAATGCTAACTAGGGACTGTGTCATGGCCCACTATGACCCTGCAGCTCCCACCCAGTTACGTGTCGATGCTAGCCCTGTTGGTCTGGGGGCTATTTTGACTCTGGGGGCTATTTTGACCCGTCGCATATGCCAGTCGAACGCTTACCCCAGTGGAATGACGCTACTCCCAAACAGAGCGTGAGGCCCTAGCAGTTGTTTGGGGCTGCGAAAAGTTTCACCTTTACTTATATGGCACCACCTTTGACTTGCTTACCGATCACAAACCCCTCGAGGTGATTTATAGTCCCACCTTAAAGCCCCCAACAAGACTTGAACGCTGGGGACTACGCCTCCAGCCTTACACATTTCGCCTGCAGTATTCTCCTCGTGCCACCAACCCTGCCGATATGTTATCTCGCCTGCCCTTGCCAAACACAGTGCATCGAGAACGGAACATTGCGGAGGAGTATGTCCATTACATAGCCCGCAACGCCATCCCCAAAGCAATGACCCTTACTCAGCTAGAGCAGGCTACGGCGCGAGACCCCGTCCTCCAGCGAGTTCACCAGTCAGTCGTCTCGGGTAACTGGCAGAAAACTAAAGAAACGGATCCCTATTTTCGTGGCTCGCGTATCGTGGTTCCAGCCAGTCTACAACCTACCACTCTACAACTGGCACACGAAGGCCACCAAGGGATTGTTCGAACAAAACAGCTCTTGCGAGAAAAAGTCTGGTGGCCTGGGATCGACAAAGACGTTGAACACTTGATTCGTTCCTGTATTTCCTGTCAGGCCCAGTCCTCCCAGTCATGCCCACAGTCACTTACCATGACAGAAATGCCTTCACGTCCGTGGACCGTCTTGCATGCTGATCTATGTGGTCCTTTCCCTAGTGGTGAGTCGCTTCTGGTTTTAGCCGTTGATTCATGTTCTCGATGGCCAGAAGTTTTCATTTTAAAGAGCACAGCTGCAGCAGTCATCATCAATCGCATGAAATGTGCTTCGCTGTGCATGGTCTCCCAGAAGCAATCGTTACAGACAATGGACCTCAATTCGTGGCAATTGATTTGTATCTTCGAGAGCACGGCATCACACACCGTCGAGTAACACCTTATTGGCCACAAGCCAATTCCGAAGTCGAACGGTTTAACCGCACACTCGAGAAGGCCATTCGCGCTGCAAATACCGAAGGAAAAGATTGGAAAAGCGAGCTCAACACCTTTTTACTCAATTACCGAGCAACAGCTCATTGCACTACTGGCAAATCACCCGCTGTTCTCTTGTTTGGTCGAGAGATACGCACCAAGCTCCCGTCGTTGAACACTAGCCGTTCGCCAGCTTCAACGTCACCTGTGTCGACCCCGCCATTCTAGAGCGTGATCGTTGTCAGAAAGCAAAGATGAAGAAGTATGCGGACGAGAAAAGACGTGCAGCACCTTCCAACATAAAGAGGGGTGACAAAGTTCTTTTGAAGCAAGAACGAAAGAATAAGTTATCCACAAAAAATGAGCCAGACCCATATATAGTGGTAGGAACGAAAGGCACAAGTTTACTTCTAAAGAGACGAGCCGAGCCCGAGATAATGAGGAATTCGTCAGCAGTTCGCAAATTGCCGCCGGAGGGAACAGATAGTCATCCACACGAAGCCAAACGGAAACCAGACCAAGTGGTCGATACAACAACAAAGCCTAGACCCCAGCGACAGCGAAAACCTCCTGAATATCTTGGATATGAAAAGTGACATTCACACAGTCCGGAAGAGTAAGACAGTATACGAATTGACAGTTACAAACTCTGACAATTGATATTTAGTTTTGCATGTTTATTGACGTTTAGTCAAGCATTTTCACGTAAAAGAGGGATGTAGTGTCTGTGACGTCACAGTCACGTGAGGAACACGAGGAGAGACAGAGTAGTGTTGGAGAGAGAGAGTATTGTAGTAAACGAGCGAGAGAATAAATCCTTAAAGTTTGATAATATAAACACTATACTAAGTATTGAAAAGCCTCACCGATATTGATCTTTGGAATTAGTTGCTTGTTAATAAGTAGTTTAGGCAGGTACGTATTGGATTGATTTTGTTTGAGCTTTTTTGATGCCAAAGATACTACATTTATCAACCCGAATAATCATGTTGGACCATTGGCACCAAATGGAGAACCGGTTTAGAAGATGTTGATTTTCATGTTCTTGACTACTTATGACGGCGGCATCATCAGCAAACTGAAACCAGTGGATGGGATTTAATAGAAACTGTAAGGAGAAACCAAATTGACGATGTTTATCTGTTTTTATGTGTTGTATAAAGGTGTTGAAACACATATTGAAGAGAAGAGGGCTCAGGCAATCACCTTGCAATATTCCACGACGAACTGGTATGAAGGGGGTACGGAATTCAGATGTAATTATTGAAGTTTTAAAATCGGTATATAGACTTTTAATTATCAATTTAACATGTTCAGGGATATGGGGGTAATCAAGTACGGATGTGATCAGATTATGATGAACTTCACAAAAAGCATTCTTGAGGTCAAGTAGGGTGATGACTAGTGAGCGTTGTTTGATTCGGGCTTTATTTGATAATATTAGCCATTTGTGCAGTGTGTTCTAAGGTGCCAGACATGTTAGGTGTGAATCCATTTTGTATATTATGTTCTATAAAGTTATTAACGGTTAGGAATGAATATATTGCGTTACGTAGGCCTAGGCAGGAAGTGAATACTTTTAATGGTATGGTCTCCAGTGTGATGGGATGTATCAGTATCGCCTTTCTTATGAATTAGTATTGTGCAAGCTTTCTTCCATTCTGAAGGGATGGTTCCAGATAGCCACACAGCACAAATGAGGTCAGTTAAAGGGGACATGGAGAGCCAGATGCTTTCGTTTTGCGTATTATATTCGTGACTTGTTGAAATCCAGCTAGGAATATTGAACAATTTGTTTGGATGAATTGCAGCAGGGGTTTTAGTGACGTGGGAAAGGCATTGCGTCATGTTGAAAGATGGTAATACAGTGTCTTTCTTCCTTAGAATATTCTTGACATAACCCCAGAAATTTTCCCGATATATTTGTCATGGTTAAGTGACTGGCTGTCTAGACTTGACTCATTGTTATTGTTTGAGCGAAGATCACGCAATATATGCGACACATATTTAATTTCGTCTAGTTCACCATTCGTTGATTTAAGAGTTTTCAGAGCTTTTTTCAAATCCTTGATTTCATAGTCCTTATATTTATTTAGTAGCGAATTGTCAGGTACGTACTGATTCGCTATAACCAAAGTTTTGGGCGAAGTAATCGTATATGATGTTATTTAATATAGCTTTATGTTGGAATTTAAATCTTGTGATGTGATTGGATCATTGGACTGAAGAGCAAATTTAATATTTTAATGTTTTAATAAGATTCGGCAACTACCTAAAAATACAACAATGTAGTGCCAGGGAGTTCGCCACAGTTCCCCCAATTACGGCGATCCCTTAATATTTACATAAAAATTACGTTCAAATAATTGATTAACGAAACAGTCTAAGTAGAACAACACAATTACAAAACGGCTAAACTGGCAACTAACAACAGTTTAAAACACCATCAAGGGATCTAGCCCTTTTACATTTAACACAGACAGATTTCCAAGTCCGAGGATCGTGGCACAGTTATATACGTGTTCGATAGTGCGTTCTTATAATACAATTTCAGTCCTGATTTAAAAGCATAAAAACCAATGTTTCTGTCTCAAAGGTTATCACTTAGGATGTTCCAGGTTTTACAAGCTCTAATAAAATACGAGGACTGGAACGTTACAAAATTGAAATGTTCGTTGGCCGTTGACCATTCGGAATTGCTTTTAGGGAGTTTAAGAGTGAATGTCAGTAAAAATCGAACATATGAGACATTTCGCGGCCACGACTGAAAAATCGATTTTGCTCAAATTTTGCCCAGATATACCTTATTATATCGGAAAATGCACCATATATTATTTTGGGTCAAATGCTTTTTTAAGTTTGAGAAAATGCCGTTTTAACACGACCACCCTAAATCGCCATTTTTTCTGGGAAAATATGAGCTGATTTTACAGATAAATTTCACGACGACAACCGTTTGTAATCGATCTAAAACCCTAAAAATCTTGTTTTCGGTTATTCAAAGGACGGTATATATGACTCACAGGAAATCTGATTACTTTTAGGGATAGATATAATCGTAGTTTTGGAGCACACTATCTTACTTCATTTACGATACCCTCTTAACAAAATCGATTTTCACCATGCGATAAAGCTCCAAATCGATCATGCTTCTAGTGGTTGGCTCTTTAATAAGCAAGCTTTCAATTGACGTAAATACTTATTTTGGCAAATGAATACGCGATAAACGACAGCGCGTTGAAATCGGCCGTTTTTGACGTCTTGCAAGTCAAACGCTGTTAATTTACATACCGTCGAAGTAAACAATTTAATCAAGTATTTTAAGTATTTTACCTTTTGAGAAGAAGATATAGTCTTGAATGGAGACTTTTTACCTTGCTTAGTTTAAAATTGGTCCAAAAATCCCGAGATATTTGTAAAATATCATCATATACAGGTATTTTGAAATATAATATTGTTGTCAGTTGCGTGACAACTTCAGATCATTGTTCAATATTGTCTACTTTTAATAGCGCAAACATACAAATCGATGAGCTGTTTAGTGATTTTATATTTGTTACTAAATTTCCCAAAATTAGAACTTCAATTGACAATTGTTGTTTTGTTCCAGTTTGCATTGATCCATATAATGTACCATTTAGTATTTACATATCGACTATCGAGTATAAATGTTTACGAATACATAAGTTAATTATTAAGCAGCTGTTAATAGCGTGCGTGTGAAATGAACATTTATCCATACAAGGATTTGTTATTTTATTATATATTCTACCACCTCAAACTCAAATTATAGGCATATAGCAAATATTGTAGTTTAGAATAATGTGTGTTTACTTTGATGCACAGTTAAAATAATCAGTAAAATTACTTTATTTTGATACACTA